GTACAAACCATACAAACATACGAACAGTACAAACTAGAGCGACAAAACATACAAACAGATTTACAAACATTACAAACATATGAACTGTACAAAAAATACAAACTAGACCGACAAACAATACAAACCATACAAAAAGAAAAAACAACCAGGTTGACTTTGGAGGCTCCATCCCTATATAGTGGGGCTCCTTCCCAAAGTCAACCCGGGTGTTTTAGACATACAAACAGTACGAACATGGTGGACAAAAAATGACAAACTAGACCGACAATCCATACGAACTGGAAAAAACACCCGGGTTGACTTTGGAGGCTCCATCACTATAGAGAAGTTCCATCGAAAAGTCAATCAGGTTGTTTTTTAGACATAAAAAACATTACAAACATGGTTGACAAAAATAACAAAGTTTACAAACATTACAAAATAACAAAGCGTACAAACATTACAAAATATGTCAACAAACATCACAAAGCACTGTCGTCGGAAAATTCTTTTCCGTCGACGATGGTCACCGGAAAAATGTTCCGACCAGAAACTCTCTCTCTCTCTCTCTCTCTCTCTCTCTCTCTCTCTCTCTGGGTAATGGTTCTCCTGCCCAGGAATTGGACGGCGACGGCGTAAGGGACGGGGCAGACTTAATTTTATTATTCATTTTATAATTAAAAGTAAAAAATAAATATGCAATTACTATATTGCCCTTCATTAAATTTGATTAATAGGAGCCCTTAAATTTTAATGAGGTTAAGTGGTTGAGATTCACTTAGCCATATGACTAAGGGGACCCCCTTAGTCACATGTTCTCAGCCATGAGGATGGGTTATTTTGTCATGCAGGGTCCAGGATTTGGTTATTTTAAATTTAACAGGGAATTGTCTTTGATTCTTGTATTCATTACTACTTGTTTGACCCCTTTATCGGATCTAATAAGATGACCTAGTCAAATGGCATAATCACACAACTAAAGATAGGATTTTTTTTTCGAGAACACACACATTATTAAAAAACAATTAAATACACATGTTATAATTTTTTTTTCAATCTATACATGTTGGGTTTTCACCACGGTCGACCAAAGTGGTGAATGCGTTACCACGGCCGACCAAAGCGATGAATGTCTGACTTGCGTTGAAATTTCAAACAAACGTGATTTTGCACTCGGTTATCCGATTGTAGCAAATATATATATATATATATATATATGGTTCAGGCTAGCGTACGTCAGTCGTACATTGTACGCCAGTCAAGTTTTATTATTTAGAGCAGGTTTTAACCGAAATTTTCGACATGATACTATACCCTAACCTCTAATGGATAAACCCCAGTCCCTAATTCTCTAACCCATGCCACGAGATTCATTTAATCTAAAAAATAATAACCGACGGTTCCGATTCAGCAAAATATATTAAAGTGCAAAAATATATATATATATATTCCGCATAATTTTTTGAGATCTTGCAAGCCGCAGACAGCGTAGGTGGTTTGGTTCCTCCTTCATCCCAAAAAATGTCGTTTGCTACCCCGAACGAGCAATTTTTTGATTTTTCCAAAAACTTTGACTGGTCATAACTTTGTGCTCCCTAATCCGAACGTTATGATTTTTTTTTTATTTCACATATCTTTTTAAGACTACAACTTTTATCATAGCCATAGTTTTGAAATGTATGTGGATTTGTGAAAAGTAAAGGCAAATTATTCCCAAAACCTTGTTTATTAAAAAATACTTCTTGTTTTGAAAATTCATTCCTAGTAAAAGTCGTAGTACTTGAAAATTTATGTGAAATAAAAAAAAATTCATGACTTTCAGAGTGTGGAGCACAAAGTTATTGCCGGTCAAAATTTGGTGAAATCGACAATTTACGGGGTAGCAAACGACATTTTTTCGTGATGAAGGCAGGATCAAACTACCTACGGATCGTTGGCGGCTTTAAAGATTGCGAAAAATTATGCGGAATCAAACAAAAATCGTTACGATTGGATAACCGAGCGCAAAGTTGCGTTCATTTGAAGTTTCAATGCATGTCAGACATTCATCGCTTTGGTTGGCCGCCGTGATGCATTTACCGCTTTGATCGGCCGCGGTGAATACCCAAACATGTGTAGATTGAGAATTTTTTTTAATACGTGTATATTCTGAAAAAAAATCTACTAAAGATATAGCCGTACTTTGCATATGAAAAATGCAGTCCAAAATGCACCGGATCGCTGGGCTTGGTAGATAGTTCCCCAACGAGGCCTGGGGTTGGGCCTACGTTTCGAAAAGCTCTGACTCGCATTAGGCATGTTCAAGCCCGATCAAATAGGTCTGGTTTCTTCCACGGAGGAGTATGGATATGGCATGAGTGGGTTATTCTTTTGATTTAATTTTTACATATCGTTTGTTATAAATGAATTTCATAAGTTTGGCGACCTATTCTACCAGAGGCAACCCAAACGGCAGCGTCCCACCAGCCCTTAATTGAGTGGTTTCTCTCATTCCTCAAGAACCCATCTCACCAGGTACGTTTCGGTCTCACTTGTTGGTTCCTCTGGCGTTCGCGCAATGATCTCGTTTTCTCAACCATTGTGGAAGACCCCAATAAGTTATCGCAAAAGATCCTTGCCTGGAGGTCATCATACAAAATAACATGGCAACGGATCAAGCTATATCACTGGGGAGGTCGGGGCCCCGTCGAAGCGTGGCCGTTGGGTGGAGACCGGCCCCGACAAGGAGGATCACAGTGAACCCGGATGGTTCGCTCTTGCGAACATCAGGGTCTACCGCTGCAATAGGAGTGCTTAGAGACTGGCATGGTAGCTTATTGGGGACTTACGCAATGAACCTAGAAAAATGTACGATCACTCGCGTGGAGCTATGAGGAGTCATACAAGGACTGGAGATCGCCTAGGACGCAGGACATAGACGAGTGTCGATCCAAACTGACTCCCGTACGGTGGTGGCGCTACTGACGGACACAGGCGAGGTGAGCAGCCAGCACGCCAGACTCATTCTGGACTATCGAGCCCTGCTTACTCGAAAATGGGAGGTTTCCATTCATCATATCTACAGGGAGGCCAATTGTCTTGCTGATTGTATTGCCCACAAGGGGCATCTCTTGTCGATAGGCTCCCATGACATTTCTATTTTCAGATCCAAATGTTAGGCATTGGGGCATGTATGATCTGGTTGGGGGCTCTTCCCCACGTTTGATTAATGATTAATAGGTAGTGCTGCTCTGCACCCGTTTTTCACCCAAAAAAATGAATTCCATAAGTATCGAGCAATTTATTTGGAAATAAAATCTTTTTGTGTTTGGTATTTAAAAGAATTTATTTTTAATTCTAAAATATGAATTCTATAGAATTTGTACTAGTTATAGCAATTACGAGGAATTGAGATAGAATTTCCAAATGAATTCCATAAGTATTTACTAATTATAATGGAACGTCATAATTATTCTCATTTATTAACTAAATTACTTCTACATATATTATTTAGCGCCAATTCATGCAGTATGAGGAATGTCAACAAGAATTTGCTTGCAACGATAGTTGCATATGCTGGTTATTTGATATTTATGCTTCGATTGTATCAATACGTTGACTAGAGTGTAGGGTTCATCAATGAAATATTAGGAAAGAACTAATGAATAGAAAAACACAATAACACTTTTGATATTCAACGTATGGGGGACCAAAAGCGTTTTTTAGAAGACTTGAATATGAAATACCAAACATAGGAATTCATTTGACAATGAATTCTACGTGATAATTCATTTTAAAATGAAATGAATTCTCGATTCATTTGGCACCAAATGGTATGTTACGTTCTAATTCTTCCAATATAAAGGAGTAAATACATTTATTAGTCCAATTTTGTAAGCACTTCAACTTATGAGTCAAATTTTCAATTTTTGTAACATTTCAGAATATTAGTCATTTGTCTGTTGTTAATATTTTTGTAATGGTGCTCCACGCTCTTTATCAATGTAAGATATTATTAATCAATTGTAGTTGATATAATTTACCAGTAAAACCTTTTATTTAAAAAAAAAATATTAGCCGAACCTTTTAAAATAAAAAATAGTAGCAAAGTTTTATCCATATTTTCTTACAATATTATTAACGAAACTCTACATCAGCATCCACATTAATCTCATTAAAAATATATTAGATCTAATTATTTTATTATTTAAAATAAAAATAACAAAATACAATACTTATTCTCCACACCTATAGCATACCCTATGTCTTTGTTTCATCTCCTCCTTCGCACAACCTCTTCTCCTCCTTCCTCTTCCACCATAATCGCATGTCTAATTTCTTGCACTCAGAGAAGAATTTATGACTCTTCGTACCGGTCTGGATTGTGTGAGCATCATAGTGTTTCTACTTGTTCACTACATCACGCTTTCATGATTCTATTTTTTGCAAATCCTGCAGGCAACAAAATGATTTTTTCTGTATCAGACATTCTCATTCATTCGGAATAATGAAGTAGTAGTGTGTGTGTATATGATTATCCGGCAGCTTTATCCTTCTCCTTTTGCTTCACCACATGTCCACTTCTTCTTCTTCTTCTTCTTCCCCATGTTTGTTTAACCAAAGTACGTTGGTTTGAAATTTAAGCAGATACTCTCCTTTTCCTTATTCTTCTTCTTCCCGCACTCGAACAAAAAGTAGCCAAGAAGAAGAAGATGATGACACAAGTGGCGAAACCATTAGCTTCAGCTAATGATACTTTTCTTGGATGAACAAATTTCAGGCCCGGCCCATGTGAAGAGCTCCCAAGTCCCAACTTGGCTTCATCCCTTTGCCCCTAATCTAGCGCAGCTCTCACTGACAATCTCGTCTTCTGTCCTGACCTGAGAGAGTACAGAGAGAGAGAGAGAGCATTTCTAGAAATTTGTGTGAGCAGAGAAAGAGAGAGAGGAGAGAATTCTCTCTATTTCCTCAACGGTAAAAAGATCCGCAGCCTGTATCGTGTCGGCACTGTAATTTGTAAAGGAAGGACTAGCTCGTACGTTGGTTGCATGTTATCTTTACTATAATGACTTGTCAATTGTCATTATCAGTTTGTAAGGCGTGCGAGGTTCCAAAGAGAATGTGCAAAATGCACGGATCCTTCTGCAGGTCATTGCACGGTCACCAAATCACAAACAATGTCGCCAAAATTCGAATACAAGACCGGTTTATTAATTTCAGTTAAGCGCGCATTGATTTTCATTCTTAACTAACTATTATTTCTATGTTACCATTTTCCTCTTGAGAACCCACCTTGTTAGACTCTCCCTCGATATTTGGTTGAGACAAAGTGTTTTTACAAATTCGTTGTGATTCAGTGAAAACTTTGTTGTTAATATTTGACAAAGCACATATTTGTTTTTGGGTGGATCATATCCACCATTGTTATTGTATCGTAGTTCGTTAAAAAAAATGAATATATTAAGAAATAATTATGAATCATACACCAAATATTTATAAGGTCAATTATCTCTATTAAATATTGCCCTAATTTTTATTCTCACTTAACTACTATACCTAATTTATCAATTTCTGTATACTCCCGAACTAGCGGAACTAGCGGTAGATTGATATCTTGGGATCCACCCAATTAGACTCTTCCTCTGCCATTGCCCTTACGACCATGTTCTCACAAATTGTGGTTGTGTTGTGAGTTCAATAGCAATATCCCAAAATGTCTTCATGCGTAAATTCTATCTATCTATTTTGTAAATCAACTGGTCTCAATAAGTTGTTGGAAGATGATTAATTATGTATGAATATTACATATTATCTTACACGCCTTTACAAATGAATGTCAACTCATGTATTTGAAGTTTGCACAAACTCACCAATACTATTTGCTTTAATACAACGATGAATATCTGGAGTCGTGAAGAGTATTGTACACGTGACCTAAAAACAAACCAACTCTAATACCATGTCACAAACGATCTGATACCAGTAACTATATTTATTGAAAAAAATATTCAAATATAAATCTTAACCACTTTCTTACCATCTATACTTTGCAATATTCATGTTTAGTTGCTCATTGTCTCTCTTAACCAAGGTTGTCAACCCGCGGGTCGACCCACTTTGACCCTGGCCCGGTGAGAAAAGCGGGCCGCACGCACCTGTCGGGTCGAGCGCTACAAAGTACAAGGTTGGAGGTCAAACTGTGTCATTTTTTTCTTTGGGTTGCGAAATGCGCATATTTTCCGATTTTTCTTTTCGCCTTAACTCAATCTTTGGAATCCTTAGTTGAACATTTGAATATTAATGTTATATAAGTGTGTGTGAATTTTCTGGATCTAAGTACGACATGTTATTTTGGTGTAGTATTATATGTTATAACTCATATGTTAGATGAAATTTGATATATCAGGATAAGTAATAATATAATGACTCTTTCCATATTTCCGGGCTAAACCAAACTAAAACGAATAACCCATTAATCATTGACCCACTAGCTCGACTGGGTCCGGGATCAACCCACATATTGACAAACTTAGCTCTTAACATTTGAAACTGCTTAGAAGTTAGAACGTTACAAACATAAGCTAGGCTACAACTAATGAGCCACATAATCCATGCAAAAACTATCCTTGTCTTCTTCCAATATTTCTTTTCAATGACAAACAAACAGCTCTTCCAAATCAAACAATACGCAAAACCAAAAACTTTTGGGAATCAATCAACACAAAGTAATGAGCAGAAAAGAAAAGAAGCAAGCAAAACTTGTTACTGGAAAATGTCGTCATTAGAAATGGACGAATCATGCCTCCTTCCTCCTCTTCTTCCCCTCCTCAGATGCAGAGCATTCTCAAACTTGGACTTCAAAAACAGAGCACTCATACTCGTACATATCGCATTCGCCGTCGCCGTCGCCGTTGTTCCGCTCGTATTTCCCGGCAGAAACCCGTGATGATTCGGATTCCCATCCCTTCCTCTTCTTCTCTCGACCCCTCTCTGCCGCTCTTCCTCCTCCGCGCCACTATCGAACGCCATGGGGGTATCTTCATCCACCGAAACCACCAGCAATCTCCTCCGCAGCTTCAGCCTCCCGATACTCGCCGCCGATATCCCTCTACACCGCTTCACCTTCAGCTTCACCAGGTTAGGACACCCGGCCCCGACGGCGGCGATGCCCAGTTCAGAAACAGGGCAGTTCTTGATGCAGAGCTTCTTCAGGGGCAGGAATTTCGCGGCGACGAAAGCCAGCTCCGCGTCCCCCAGCGTGTCGGTATTGCAGAGCGCCATTCGTTCAAGAGATCGGCAGTTGGAAGCCAGGGCGTTGAGGGTTTGGACTGAAATTGGGACGCCCATCAGTACAATTTCCTGTAGGTTGGAGGATTTCTGGGCTATGGAGTGGACGCCATCGTCTCCGATGGTTCGGATCCCAAATCGGGTCCAGGCGTCGATATGGAGCTTCCGGAGCTTTTTGCATTTCCCGGCAACGGCGGACAGGCCGTCGTCGGTACAGTCGGTGGTGCGGCTGAGATACAGAGCTTGGAGGTCGGGGCAGGAAGTGGAGATCGAGGTGAGCCCCTGGTCGCCCAATTGGACGCTCTCGAATTGGATCTCCATCACGGATGTAACTTCCCCTCCTCCTCCGAAGCTCTCTTCCAACACTCCGTCCCAATTGCCGGAGCTCCGGCAGACGATGAGCGTCTTCAGCGATTTGGAACAAGATGAAAGCAAAGGGGTAAAAACCCCAGCGTTGTGGAGATCCTTGATGCAGAGCCTCACCAGCAACTTACCGGCGCCGAAACTGCCGTCGGGGTATTCGAGGTGGGAGGTGCGAGTGTCGAGCTTGCGGAGGCGCTTGAGAGTGAGGTCTTTTATCGAACAGTTGGTGAGCATGGAATTGATCCCCTTCGCGCCGAAACCGCATGAGGCGAAAGACACCTTGGAGAGTTTTGAAGGGCGATTGGCGGAGAAGGCGACGAGGCCGTCGTCGGAGATGTGGGTACAGCCCTTGAGCTTGATTTTCTGGAGGGAATTGAGGAAGCGGGAGATTTGGGCGAAGGAATCGTTGTCGATGCTGGGGGATTTGCGGGAGCATTTGAGGGAGAGGACGGTGAGGGAAGTGAAGCGGTTGAGGAGGGAAGGGAGGGAAGGCGAGATTTCGGCGGGGGAGAGGAGGACGAGGCGGTGGCGGGAGGCGGAGTCGACGGAGCTCCAGCGCTTGGAGACGAGGGAGCAGGAGTTGCGGTCGTGGCAGCCGAGCTTGGAGAAGACGGTGGCGAGGCATTCGTCGGGGAGGGAGAGGGTGTGGTCGTTGGCGGCGGCGGCGGCCGGGAGGTGGCTGGGTTTTCGCTTTTTGCGGGGGACGGTGGCGGTAGGAGGTGAGGGGTGGGGTTGGCATTTGGTGGCGGCGGAGGTGGTGGTAGCGGCGGCGGCGATGGAAGAAGGGGCGACGGAGCAGGAAGAAGTGGATTGGCCCATCAAGGAAGGAAGAGATAGAGATGAAGCAAAGAATCAGAGGTAAAAGGAAGTTGGAGGGCAGAGAGTTCAGTATTAATAGTGGTAACTGTGTGGTTGGAAATGAAATGGTAACCAAACAAGACAAAAGCACAATGGCGGTGAAACAGAAAAGTTAGTAGTCGATGGTTCAATGGTTAATTATTATAGAAATATTGGTTAATCGTTAATAAAACTATTAATGTGCTATAACATAAAGAGATTTATAGGACACTGATTTATAAGTGAAATTATAATTAATCATAAACAAATTCAAATTTATATCATTGATGTTTAATTTAGTAATCAGGGTGACAATCCGTAGTGGACAACATAAAACTGACAAGGAAGCTGGAAAATGAAGAAAAGAAAGCATAAATAAAATTAGTGATTGAGGTTGGATGATCTTAGTTTACGTTAAAGTTTTTTTTTTAGTTGTTGTGGTTAAAATTGTGAACCAGTTAAATCGAGGTGGTCCATATGGTTTCAAGTCAAAACCGTAAAAAATCATTGGGTCCATTGCTAACTGTCTAAACAAATGAACCAAATCGATACTGTAACTGGTTCTGCTGGCCTAGTCGTTATCCGGTTCGATTCTTATAACCGTGCAAAAACATGCAAAAGGATTGTGAAAATTTCCTACATTAAAAATTTGTTACAACATTTGTAAAAAAACCGAAAGTATTATTTTGAGTCGGTTAATATTATACAATTTTAAACGCACTCAAATACATTAAAATGCGAATGAAAAACATCATATATAGTTGTCTATGCTATTGCGTATTTTGTTCTTACGGCAAGCCTCAATCTGTATTGAAAAGACACGCAATATCATTTTCTGTGTGCGTGTGGAAACGCAGACACAAAATGAGTGTCCTGACTCATTATATTAATCATGCAAGACTTTGAGACCCTGCCTGTTAACATCATGAAATAACCGGTTCAAAAGAACATGCACCAGGATATCAAATAGCATTTGTAGGAATTCGAATTCGAAACTTTCAAAATCGAAACCTGATCGTTCTATCGATCTTGAACATACTGCTCCATCGATTATGTTTAGTTGTTGATCAAATTTGAATTTGATAGGACATCCAAAAGTAAAGGTAAAAAAAAAAAACTCCCTTATATTATACACCCCTAATTTTGGAAAGTTGCAATTTGGATAAAGAGTGAAGAAAGGAATAGTATCGCGGTGGTTAAAGGAGTTTTGTTTGAAGCACTGGATTAAGGAGGCGTCCTATAGCTGGAAAGAATGTCCCTTTTTATTATTTTTCTCACAGAAAAAAAAAACACGAATTCGCGTTTCAAAAGAAAAGGTAAACGAAAACAGAGTAAGAGGACAAAATTCAGGGGCTGTGGCCTGTGGGGAAGGCAAAGGAGACAAAACGAAATGAAAGCTGGAAGAAGGTGCAGAGATCTTTTGTTTTGAGAGCTGAAACAGCGTGGATGATGATGATGATGATGATGGCGACGCCGACGACGGCGATGGATGGAGTGATGAGTGCGACTGAACCAAACAAAGGAAGAATTGGAACGGAGCAAATGCTGCCCTCGGCCTGCCGACGAACGACGCCGACGTGACTCATTCCTTTTTGTCAACAATATATTGTCATCCAGCAGTTTTGAGACGTTAAAACGATTTCGAAGGGAAAAAAAATGTCTAATACTCGAGTTTGGTAATTTTCAACTAAAAGGGATCTCATGTGGGTTTGGGGCGATTCGTACGAAAGTTACGGTAAGCGCTATGTCGTCCCTCTATGATGTTATTAACGACTCGTTCTTGGTGGAGCTTTTAGTTTATTAGGGATGCGGTTCGATGGTGCTTGGCTGCGGAATGTCCAATAAGCTAGTGTTGATGCTGCGGGAGAAGATTTCGGAGGGGGTCATTAGGAGATCCGCTCGACAGTGCAATTTTGGAGAAAATACATTTATTACGTTGCGTCAATGCTTCCATCATTTTAATGTTAGATTTGTTGATCGACAAACTAGTAGGGCAACTTATTTGGTGGACAAAAAAAGTTTTTTTTTTTTTGTAAAATAGTTTGGTACGGTTCGATGTGCGGTTGTGGTATATTTCAGCCATGTGACTCTTTTGTGTCTAGTCTTGTGTCTATAATACAAGCGAGCTTTTAGGTGTGGAAACAAAATCTTTTTTATTGGTACAACGAAGCGAGCAGTAAACAATACAAAAAAAGTAATTGAACATACATCGTGATCTACTGATAAGATGTGCATGTCAACTAATACTAAGACCAGAAAAACAAACAAAACTATTTTGAAAAAAAGTACATATTACAAAACAGGTTAACGTGACTCCTAATCATAAGTCAAATAAACAGGTTTAAATCATATCAACTTTCATAAGTACTTATTAATTTCAAACCGAAATCAAAAGATAGTTAGGGTCAAGGTCGTGGGTCCATCAATCACTCCTCTTTGTTTCCAACATCCCCATGGCCCCATTCCCCCAACTTTTAAATGTTCATTCAGGGAGCTTTTTCACTTTAGCTACTAGTAGTAGGGAGGGTTTGAACGGGAAAATTATCCTTATTCCTAGAAGTTCAATCTATTATTTCAAAATTTAATGGGGAAAATAATGTGATAAAAAATACTATGAAGCGGTTCGAGTAACCCATGTTAATTAGTTAAAAACTATATATTTGATGTCCGTATTTGCGGAGCTAGGTTAGGGATTGTGAGATCCACGTACCCAATTGAAACCTGAACACATTAGAAATAGTGAAATTTTAAGGTGGAGTCTATACATGTTCAACCACGGATCTCCATTTCATAGGAAATAAACCTTTAATATCACGACTCACATTGCATTCCATCATTTCTGCCTCTGGAGACCCACTAAAATCTATTTTTAACTGCGCCAGTGATCATCAGCACACACGTTTAAAGAAATTTATTACATAATTAAATCCTCATCATTCTTTTACTCCTCAAAATTGGATGGCATATTAATGCTTGTTTTAAGGCCAACTGACTCCGGAATGGTTATAAGACCATTACCACCATGTGTTAGAATTTCGATATATTTTAGGTGGAAAGATAGAAATTGTGGAAGTACAAGCAGACAGCGCCGAGAGAGCGAAGAGCAGAAAGTCCACCAATTGCAGGCTGCCAGGAGAGAAGGAAACAACGAGCATTCATTGGAAATTTAGTATTTTCGTTCCTTCACTCGTGATTAGTTTTATTATGAACATGATTGTGTGTTTTATTTTCGTCACATATGTAGACATATATAATAAATTTATGCGGAATAAAAAAAAATTCATGACGTTCGGATTTTGGAGCACAAAGTTAAGGCCGCCCAAAGTTTGACGAAATAAAAAAAAGGCTCGTTCGGGGTAGCAAATGACGTTTTTTCGAGACGAAGGCGGGACCAAATTGCCTACGGCAATTTGCGGCTTGCAAGATCTCGAAAAGTTATTCGGATTAAAAAAAAAAAATCGCTACGATCGGATATCCGAGTGCAAAGTTATGTTTGTTTGAAGTTTCGGCCGAAGTTAGGAGTTGATCGAAAAAAAAAAATTGGACCAAACCGCTGGGTGGGGTGGCGGTTTGGCCCAAAACCGCCGCCCCACCCAACGGTTTTTATAACCACCCCTTCGCCCAGCGGTTTGCATAGAAAACCGTGCCCCGCCCAGCGTTTTTCGTGTAAACCGTAGGATGAGGTGGCGGTTTTTAAAAAAGGTGATATTTTTAGAATTTTTTGGGATTGAGTGATATTTATGAAATTCTTTTTTTAAACAAGGGTAGTTTTGAATTATTTCCTATATATAACATAACATTATGCCTTTCTTGTTTTGCAGGTCTCAGTTGTATTCGGTGTCCACAACCTAAAAGCCTATCATGTAGTTTCATTCTTCCTCTAAATCATCTTCATCTCTCTTCATAATCGACCTACAGATCTTTCTTGAGGTTTACACTTGTTGATTTGAAATTTGAAATTAGATTATTCGGCTGAAACCCTTTGGGTTAATTACTAAACGCCAGAGTTAGAGATAATTTTTGAACCAGTTGCTGTTGACCTTATCAGCAGGTTCCAGCTTTGAGCATTTGCGTCCATTCACAACCCGGTGGCGACCCCAGACGACGGACGCGACAAAAAGTTTCCCACCCACTCTCCCTAATTTTGATTCTTCAGATCGAACTCGATCCCCCCTTCAATTTAGTTAAAGTAAATGAAATTTTGGGTCTCTGATATAACCATATATTACCAACTTAATTTGGAGTTTTGAACACATGCATGATGTTAAAACAGTTGCAAAGTTACTAAAGTTAGAAGAAGTAGGGGGGGGGGGGGGGGGGGGGGGATTTTGGGTTTTGTGAATTTTGTGTGCATACAAGATATGTCATAATATGTATTAATTTTTACTTTTATTAGGGCGATGAGGTTGAAAATTGAATTGTTGATCCCTTGTTGGAGACGTGGTTATTAACGAGATGTGATTAGTTGGTGCACACTTCCAATAATTGCTTTTGAATACACATTAAATTCTAGACAAATTAGTTATTAAATTGAATGGTACATTTTGAAAGTTTTTCATATGATTCAATTGTAAATATGTTCTAACACAATTTGGGAGTTCAGTTCAATTAATTTATAAATATTTGAATATAAATTAATTCATTTGAAAATGAACTATGCACAATTATTTATTTTTAATTTAAATAAATTATTGATTCATTTGATTCCAAATGATATGTAAGGAAATATATTATCTAATAAAAAAATAAATTTTGGTAAAATAAAAAAAATTAAAGGACTAAAATGAAAGGATTAAAAATAATTGTGTGATTTCGTTCGAACATGTTACCTCATTAATAGCCGATGGTAAGACAGCCTAGTTGGTAAAAGGGCTGGGTTTCGAGTTTGGGATGTGACAAGGTCTCAAGTTCGAATCCCAAGTACCTCCTTCTTGGTGTTCACGGAGGCATCCTTGGTACAGGAGACGAAGTCTCCCCGATAACAGTAGCACAACGCCGGGACAAAGTCCTTGATGGTTAGTATGCAGGTATCCCAGGTTTAGTAGACTCCGCTGTCACTCATGTGGCATGTGAGTTGCTGATGTTCCTGGGTTATAAAAAAAATGTTACCTCATTAATAAGGGGAAAAATGTTCTTTTTTGTGTGGAAAATTTGAGGAAACAAATGTTGAAGTCTTGTGGAAACAAAAGAAAGTTTGCACTTGTTTCTAGAGTAGGATACAAACAAAAAAGAAAAAAACATTATGAAAACCAAACAAGTTCCCCCATTTCCGTTGCCATCTGTAAGGTAAACAAAAAACAGGAAACAAAAATGAAAGTGAATCTGCTATAACTCGGTGATATAATTTTAATATCACATTGTAACGTATAATTAGTTCAATTGTTCAATAAAAATAATGAAATCCATGTTAAACATGCATAAAATACGATATGTTAAATATGGGAATCGTCACGCATCATCAAAACTCAAAACTTTTAGGTAGTGTTGGTGACCCAACGAAGCCAGGCTATGCGGTAAGGATCCTAACGAGAGTGCCTTTGCAAGCCTATAAATCTTCCTACATACCAATGATTAAAATACCGTACCGTACCAACGGTTCGACCTGAAAAACTTCCTACCGGAAGCAAAACCAATATGCATTATTAGCGGTATAATACGATTGAACCATAATTCAACCACGATTTTAACATAAAATACCTTACCGCTTACTTTTTCAGCAAGACCAGTACAACCTCCGGTGCAATATTTCAATCCTTCCTTACATACACAATGCCATAAATAAACTGCAAACCTTCAGGACCTCAAATTTGCTTTCTTTTCGCTTCCAGTCTTCCACCTCACGCCGAAGTACAATACCAACAAAACAATAGAAGCAAATACAAGACAAAAACCCAGAAGAAAACTATGGCCACCGGCTACATAACCCAATCCCTCCCTTAACCCCCACACTGGAAAAAATGGCATCGTACAATCATACATCATGTAAAATATACAAGATTTATACACATCCCCTAAGGTACAAACTTGCTAACTAACGCGAAAACTTTCCTCACATCATGGAAACTAGATCAAATACTCGGATTCGGGAAAAAATAATCATAATCACAGCAAAGGAATCGCCATACGTCGTCATTCTACGTTGTCGTTCGTCGCTGGTTAGGCAAGAAAGTCACTCATGCTTAACATAGGGCGCTGACTAACACTTCCTCCCTGGTTATTTGATGGCAACAACGAGGGTTCTTGTTGGGAGGCGGGTGTTGTTGTTGCATCCTTGTCCTCTCCAACCACGTGTTCTTCCGGAACTGGGACAGGTTCTCCAGAAGGAACAGGCTCGGGGTTACTTCCAGAGGGGGTTACGTTATTCTCACCCGGTGCAGCTGGATCTGGATTACTAGCAGATGATGATGAGATAGTAGCAGCGTCTTGCCCATCTGCGGCAGGAGGTTCACTGGTTTCTGATGGCGCCACTGCAGCTTGTTGTTCTGGTGTGGCGGCAGGTGCACCATCTGTAGGTGGTGCAGCTGTATTTGCAGGTGTAGCACCTGGTTCCGGTGTTGTGGTGGGAGGCGCCTCGATCTGTAGCGGTTGGCTTGGCGGTGTTTGCTGCTTCTGAGCACCCAGGGTTCCGGGGGCAGGTTTTTTCTGGGTAGTGATTAGGCCGGTTAGAGATGGCATTCCAGGGGGGAGGATTTCAATGGGTGGCTTCTTTCCAGCATCTGCGAGACTCGTGAACTTGGGTTCCTCAAGTGATGCCAGGAAGGCAGCTGCTGCGTCGGTTTTTGTTGATGGAGTGTGCTCAACTTCTTTCTGCAGCACCTTGTTCCAAGCCTGAACCAAGTTCTTGAGTGTTGGTCGCCCGTGAGCCTGAAGGGGGTGACATTAGAACGTGAGTCAGATCGAAATGTTTTCACTTCCAGATTTCTGAAATACTGGTATGTGCTGTTTCATCTAATATTTCTAGCTCCTAACTTTTATGATGGCACTCCTAGTTTCCGTACAGAAACAACACTTACGTGAGCATGAAGGACAGCTTCAGCAAGCATGCCAGTGTCCTGCCATGCTTTTTCCATGAGAGCATTGTCACCAAGAACTGCTCCCGCAAACGCTGCTTCCCGACCCAGGCCAATTGAAATCAAATTGTTTACCAAACTCTGCAGTGGGTAGACAGGCAAAAATCAGAAGCTATTTGTATGAATCAAACCAAATCGCCGTTGAATGCTAAACAATTACTTATGCATGCATTAATGCTGCACCTAACTTCAGCATGCTTATAATGAGACTAGCATTATCTGGCTATGATAATGTTCAAGTGTAGAAGAACTCAAATGAAAAAAATATGCAAGTCAGGAACAGGCTTTGGCCATACACTTAGTCGAGTTAACTCTCCGTGATTTGCAAGTCGTAAGGCAAGTCCTCTTAATTCATGGCTCTGTAAGGAACCTTTTACTGCTCCTGCAGTGGATAACCTCTTGAGTGCTTCACGAGCAATGTCAGCTTGCCCAGTGGCATCTGCGGCATCGATGAGGTCCAAAAATTCCTTGGCAAATTTAACAACTCCCTCAACAGCTTCAACAACATCTTCCTTTTTAGCAGTCAAATTAAGGATGTCACTCAATTCCAGGCCAGTACCATCTTGCCCAATGTCCTTGCTGTTGCTCATAGTAAGAAGGCAATGAAGAGCCCTTTTCAAATCATTACTCTTCATGGCCAGATCAAACTCCAACCTGGAATATAATAATGGACATTTTCATAAGTCACAATATTTTCCATGCAGTAAAATCCAACAGAAAGTGTTGAAGAAAATATGAGTTATTGGTTGACCGGGTGGATGGGGAGATAGTGAGCAGACCTTTTAGATATTCCAGGTAAATGAAGTGCTTCGGTAGCATAACCCATTCCTAATAAAAACTGTGCCAAATCATCGTGATGCTCCCTACCAAGCCTACTTGCCCTGCATACAAAATATGGGATAGTAGTGAAAACTGTTTAATTCATGGATCATATGCAGGCGAACAGTAAATGAATTGTACAAGAGAAACAAATATGAAAAAACTCAATACCATTTCACTGCACTAACAGCATCTCCATAAGCAGCCAGACACCGGCAACGAATACCAGGATGAGTGAGAGATAAGGCATGTGCGCACATATACCTATCAACAATTTTATTACAGAGAACATAAGGATGCCACTAGCTATAATGAAGTACAGAACCATGTAAAAGAAAAGAGATAAATGAACGAAAAGAAGGTGCATCAAATTCCATTTTGATCTATTAACAATCAGAATCAGAAACCAGAACAGTTTTCTTGTTTTCCTTTTGACGAATGAAGAAACTGGAAATGTTCAAATCACAGTTGCATAAGCCTTGAAGTACAGTTTGATTTTCCATTATTGCTTATACTAATCATAAAAAGCATTATGAATAGGGCTCCTTTTGTTTCAACCAGGAGAAGCAGTAGTTGGAGCTGTCAGTCCACTAACAACATAAAGCAAACCTCAAAAACTAGAATTAAAAAAGTGGGAAGTACGAAGTGTTTAAATTGGAGAGCACAGGCAGCTACTCAACGAACATAATGGAGTCTTGCATTTTTTTATACAACAACGTGACCAACGATCATAACGGATTACATTATGCATCTTCAGAACATCACCATTTAGTTCTAACCTAAAATGAAGATTGATAGTTCAAAAGGAAATGGAAAAGCGATTCAAGTTGAGATTGATATAGAGGTAGCATGCACAAAACGAAAAAGAACCAAACAAAGAATCACTTCGTCATCCACTCCAGACGTTGCATTTTCACAAAGATATATTTATGTGCTTTATGGCAATTCCATAATAACACTACTAAACTTTAGCAGCAAAGCTGCTAATATGATTAGCATTGCAAGAAAGATTCACACCATGTCAAAGCTACTAGCATTATCAAACCATTCCAAAAAGAAGGTAGAGAACTCGATAACCACCAAAAGCTATTCTTAAGTTCTTACTATGGCAGGTTCACCAAAAAAAAAAAAAAAAAAAAAGAATAACACAAGCTCAGATTTTGATAAACTTCCAGTGCAAACTTTCACACCTAAAACTGTAGCATGATATACCCATCTGGTTAGAAATGGCAAGAGAGTAAACCACAAGTTCAAGTAACAATAACTAACAACAATTAAAAAAAGAGACATTATCTTATTACCTATCAACAAGCCACAGAACTCCATCTCTTACACCAATGACAACAAGAGGTCCCACAGGTCTTTTCTGTTCTGTAGGAAAGCGTGTAACAGCCACAGATACCCCTCCTCCACCAACAGCTACCTCATTGTACTTTTTATCTTCCAACTCTTTTGGCATTGTGGGGTCATCACCATCAACCCTAGTCTGCTTAGGTAATGTTAAGAAAGGTGGCACTGAAGGAGCATGCTGGAATGAAGCTAGACGAACCACCTGGAAAGAAAGACAGGCATTTAGAGGATGGATCAGTTGATTTGTGTAACCAACTGCTGGACCAAGCAGCATCTTCCCACCAAAATCAATCCACAATTACGAATAGCAATTGTGAAGTTATTGCCACAATTGTTCCACCACACTGACACACAGGCTAGGACGACGAAACAGCACAATCGCCCACACCAAGGGGTGCTACACAAAAACTTCAGTTTTCTGTTCCAAAGCAACTTTTTTTTTCTCCAAATAATAACCCAAAAAATTATTTATTAGAAACATGTGGCCTAACTGCAAAATATTTGTTTCCCGTGTTTTATTTTAATAGGTAGTTCATGCCTTCTTTCCATTCAAGTTAAATTCAAGAGTTACATGACTGGAGGAGGAAACCTAGTTCAGCCATTGGCACGTATCAACGCACAGGTCTTCTCCTTTCATCTTTTTACTCTACAACCAATCACAAGGTTCTCATCTATGTAGAAGACATGTGAGTGAGGCTTTTGTGATAACACCTTCCGAAGAAGAACTTGTCTCGTTTGTTCTGTCTGGATACAGCAGAATAGTAAAATGTTTTCCAAGAAAGATAATAGCCTGACAATTTCCTTATAATTAGTATTCAAGCTTGTATCTGTAGCAGTCATTCTGCAGACCTAAAAGAAAGGAGTACCGACACCTAGTCTAGCTACCTCCCTTCAGCTAATTTACCTATTTTCTTCGTTTTCCTTCCCAAGGTTTGCCAAGAGAAAGATCACATAGACAATAAATCTACACTGACCCTGTTGTGGCCAATGCACCATAGGCATGAGTAGCAAAATAGAGATTGAGTCAAGTTTACAACTCCATTCCTGTCAAATTTAGGATTTACATTACTATGCTCTTTGTTTTAGCAATAACTATTGCCTTGGCCTTATTTAGGAGGCTCGATATATAGAAAGTATTACTATTCAATTAGTGTTATTCAAGAAGGATCAGTATTAGTTCTAGTACTTAGGATAGGGTTCTGTCCTATTTAAATGAGGTCTCAGCCAGATTAATAAAACAAGCAGAATTTTCAGTTTTTAAGGCAGAGAAGAGTTGCTCTTTTCTAGAGTTTCTAACTCCTCAGAATAGGTTGCTCCAAGAAAGGGAGCAAAAGAGGAAATCTTCAGGATTTCCAGGTGAACAGGCCCATGACGAGATCAATTCTCAGCCAAATAACAGCATCCTGAATAATTCCCTTCTCAGGTTAATATTTTCAGTAGACTTACGATTAGAAGTAAATTTCAACTTTCTTTTTCACCAATAAACGTTTTCATGCTGAACTCTTAAATTTATCAGAACATAATCATGTTGAGGCTTAAAGTTAACAAAGTACAACGGGAGAAGGTACAAGAGAAGCCATCAAGTCTAAAGTTCTAAAAAGCTGAACCTATATATGAATGAGAAGAAAGCAACAAGTCACCTGCAGCATTGGTGGTCGCAGTGCTGTTCTTTCTTGTGCTGAGGTCTGAGGACTTTCTACTGCTATCAGTGCTAGCTCCCCATGCTCAGCAACTGCTCTTGCCTGTGCTTCTCTCAGTTTCATCTCTTCTTTCATCTTTTTTGTTTCCAAATCAATTGCAGCAACTCCAGCATCCACAAAAACACATCTGAAATACAGTCAAATTATTAGAACCTGTTTTACAGGTCTTTAGCATAATAAAAAAGAAGAATGATCTGGACTGCGCTTCCACCAAGAGAGCAGTCAATGTAAGCAGAACATATCTCACTCAATAGTAGTTGGTGTGGCCACAAAAAGCTGTCGCCGATGCCAAACACCACCAGTAGCATAGGGGATTGCTACATCTCCAAGATAACGATATTGAGGTCGCAAGGATGATATAACAATGTATTTTTGGTAAGCAAAAGCACAATACTCCACTGTTTGGTCCCATGCAGTCCATTCTGGCTGAGGAAGTAGACCACCCACGGGCTCAAAACTTTCCCAACTGCACAATAAATTCTTAATAGTTAGAAATCGTTCAAATTCACCATAAGATATCATTTTGCAGGCGCAAAGCAAAAACAAGTCATTGCAGGAGGACCTCAAAGATCTAGCATTGAGATAAAGCACTAAAACTCTTTGCCAGTAAGGTAAAACTGATAGGAAAGGAACCTAAATTGACCGTTTGACTATTTTCAAATTAAAGTGACGTGCCATATTCATATAGACCGTCACCTGTATAATTGGAAATTCTGAGGGGCTGCCTCAGCAGCAGAACGATGTGTTGCATCATCAATTGTTGTGAAGGAACTTCCAAACCCTGACAATGGCATCGGCTGAATGGCTGAAATAGCCATTGCAGCACCAGCACTGACCCTCCGTGATGTCCGATAAGCCACACCTAACAATGCACCTCCATGCAAACCAATAACCTGAAAGAGAAGATAATGAAAATAAGAGCCTCCTACTCCAAGCAAGGACAAAAGAGATATCTTCACATATAATTACGATAAGCCACATAGAGATGTATTGCATGATAAGCTCTGCTTAAATATGTCCCGCGCCCGCCATTTTAGAACCACTGCACCAGGAAGAGTTAAAATTGAAAACCAAACCTTAGGCCTTCATATAAAATGACAAATAAAACTTTATAATTTACATGTGAACAAAAGAAAGAGACCTATACTAAGCGAATCAGGAAAACATATTTTTAGTCTCAAGAAGAACTTTGCACCCTCAAGACTACTATATGATGTCAGGGAATCCGTAAATTTAGACATTACAAAAAATTTCTCAGCGTGCAGCATATGCTTTGCAATGCAACTGCAATAGCAGGAGAAACTTATACACAAAGAAGTTTAAGTCCTAACAGCATCACAGAGACAGCCAAAAAAGAGTAAACTAGAAGTAGAGAATACAGTGTGTCACTTGAGTAAGGAGATCACATACTGGCTCAGAGCGGCCACCTATGGACCTCATTAATATATTTGATGTCCCATCATCCAGCAAAATCCGAACTTGGACAGTAGCAGCAGAGGCCGCATTAGCAGCGGCAGCGGCAGCCTGCGCAGCAGCTGCGGCTGCTTCCTTTGCCTTCCTTGATGAACCTCCTTTAGGAATTATAGGAATCCTAGGAGGCACGGCAGATTCCAATATAGCAAATCTATCACGGCATGTATCCCAAGCCAGAAGCCTTGCACTCCCTGAATCTACAATGGACCAGTCGCTGACTTTGTATATAGAGAAGTATGGAATATCTGGCCAGACAATCGCAAGATACCTGCAACAAACTCAACTTTTAATACATCCGAACGTATTCAAGGATATCAAACAAAAGTGAATGATAACTGGACAGGACCAAAAGCCATTGGACTTGATTACATATCAAAGGGGTCTAAGGATATTAAGGAAAAACACTGTGTGCCATGTTCTAGCAGCCTGCTGACTCCATAAAGTCTCTTTTAGATGAATCATTACAGATCAAGGAGAACAAATTATCAACCAACGCACATCACAGTTTAATATACAAACAGAGCTGAGGCTGTGTGAAAAGCAACTCACTTTCCGGAACTGCTGACTGAAACAACTGAATGTGAATCATGCGGAACAGGGGTGCTAATGTGCTTTTTAATTTGTTTGACATGTAACGGTTCAGCATCTCCCTTGAGCTTTCCAGTATCAGATATGGAGCCATTACTTCCGAGAGATGGATTCGCAGTGTTGGACAGTTGGAAGTTCAACAGTTTCAATTCCCTTTCAATTACATAGACAGCAGAATGTTCACGGTTTCCTAGTGATGTTGGCAGGGGAGCCACTGCTGGAAGAGATTTAGGATCAAACTCACTGATAATAACACCAACATTGGTTCCAGTAGCAACAAGGTGAGGCTGTAGAGGATGTGCAACCATGCAGTACACCTGCCATAAACAACAATGTCAACCATGGGACGCATTCATCAAGGTGAAGATATTAAGAGAAAAGGATACCGTATATATATACAAGCTAGTCCAACAACTGTATGCGTACAAAACGTAAGTACTTGGTCAACAATTCAGATCCATATCATCCATCAATAAGCTCCTGCAGATGTATTACTTGCTGCATATTGTCAATGCTAATCTATTACAAATATTGATTTCACGGTTTCAATTTGAATCAGAATTGCACATTGCAAGTAACGGAACATTGTCCTACAGGCGAAACTGAGTTGAAAACATAAAAGCTTAACTACCAATATCAGCATAGTATCTATCGCGCCCCTTGTTAAAGCAGATGCTGATGTAAACAGCATTCAGAACCATAAGTCATTATTCCCTTCATTGATGATTTAAAGTACACACAACAATTCTATGGTTCAGTATGAAATAAAGAGAAAGAGGACGGACAAAGCAACTACTCATTTTCCTTGCTTAATAATCAAACTGGTAAAATTTAACTTGGAAGCATTTAGTTGTCCTGAGTACTAAATGTTGGAGCCTTTATAATCTGATCCACATAGAAGCTTGAGAGACAGTTATGTACCCTGAGTTTCTTGCTTGGTGTTGTATACTGGGGTGGGATGAGGGAAGACAGCTCACACAATGGCCTAGTGAGGGCTGAATAAGTTGGATGTTCAATCGCCCTGTAAAAAGAAATGTGTGGAGTGTACATTGCTTAAGATAACCAACTTTTTGCTGGTACGGGTACCAACATTGTTCCATATTAGCAAGAGACAGATTAAGCATACCATATATGGGAATCCTTGACACAAGTTAAAATGTCAAGGTTCGGAGCTCGAGGATGGCACCAAGATGCAACACTGTGACAAGACATTTTTGGAACAGGTTTGATACGCCGCAACTCCTGCATGTGTGCAAAAGAAGACAAAAGAAAGGCAGTGAACAAGATGAATGAAGACTATGCAACAAAAGCAAATTTGTGTCTACCCAGCACCTTGAAAGACATTGTGTCCCATATAGCTAATGTCTTATCTGCACCGATTGTAATAAGTTGTGGAGCACCTCCAATTACTCTAGAAAGCTCAATAGCTACAACCCCGCCGTCATGTGCCTTTAGCAAGATTAAACAAGAGTTAGAATACCAGGCTGACTTGTCCAAAGAACACAATTGAATTTTGTGCAAGAAGAATGAACATGAATTAAATACTTAGGCAGAACATGCATAGAACCAATTAATTAAATAATAAAAAAGTACACAATCGTGAACTCATGAATCATTTCTGGGGTACCTTCACAAACATTATTGAATATTGAGAACAATACCCTTAAATCCAAGAAGGTCGTGCATTCTTGTTTGAATCACAAGCTACATATGAGCTTCCGGAACTAGAATGATAAGGCTAGGAAGAGGAAGCTACCCACCTTTAAACTTAGCTTGGGCACAAGCTCCCTTGAATCATGAACATGGTCAGCGCTCCAAAGTACAAGTAGACCATCACTACCGCCCGAAACAAGTAGCGCCTATTCAAATTAATTATAATTATGGGTAAATCATTCCGAGTTACAGATCAATATGAGCTCAAATGAGAGCATACATGATGCGTTCTTTAGAAGTGCTAAGCATGATTTCAAATATATATCAAAATGAAAGCAGCACTGGAATGAAAGAACTACCTCACCAGAGGAAGCCATGAAGGTCATCAAGCAAGCTATGGCGCCTTTATGACCTCCCGTGTATCTGCGTACAAGCTGCAGCAAAAAATTATCGATTACTGAAAGCAGCAGGTATGCAACACCAAAAACAATTATCTGTTCTATCCTTTCTAATTTCTGGGTTCAAGAAGCCACAACCTTCCACGAGATCATCGAAAGAACTCTAATAACACCATCTGATCCACCAAAAGCAACCAGGGGACCTTCACCAGCAGTGGATCTACAGAGGAACTCCATACTGTAGGGCGGAAAAAGACAACATTACCAAATCAGAGTACACTGTATGATAAATATGGCAGCACGGCCTGAAACAAAGCCTAGCAGCTCCATCACCATTCACAACCAGGCAAAAAGTTCCCAAAAGTGAAAATCGGAAAGGGCATTCTTGCTGAAGGAGAACCATATATTTATCATGTTGCATATTCTTCAAGCACCAGTGTAACATATTTGTAGTCTCTTCATCAAGACATAAACAAAATCCTAAACTATATATGCTAATGCGAGCAAAAGAGCTGGCACTGAGAGCATAAGCATGGATAAATGAATTAAGAAAGACAGCGAAAGGACTTTCTGTACTACGAATTACCAGAGAAGTGACCGGTTGTCGAGCTCTTGCTTGGGCACATCACGGCCACGCATAGTCACCAAATCCAAAAAGATTGCTTTATTTTCACAACAGATGACGAGAAAATGCCTCCCCTTGGTTGAAGGAGCCGGAGAAGTGAATGTAGAGGTGACATTATTGACAGCCGCAGGAGCCTCCGCAGCTGCAGCTCGGTTTCTCCATAGTTGCCAAAACCGTACATCATCATCATAAAAATTCACCTGCTTAACACTATGTCAAGAAGAGAAGAAATAAGCATCCATCAAACGTGAAATGGAGTAAGACGATGAGCAAAAGCCGTGACGGCTGTTCAGGCATTGATCTATTTACCTGCCACCTCTCATGGCTTCAGTAGGTTTCCCTCTGGGCTCTGCCAAACCAAACACGCATTACTTCCTAACTTACGGAATTGCAATTACGCACACCTAAATTCAAAATTCACATTACCACAACGAGTCATAACTCACCGGATTCGCCCTCGGCGAGCTTCTCCAGCTTGGCGCCGACCAAACGCCTCTCGTCAACGCCACCGGCTTTGAGCTCGTAAATGATCTGAAATGCGAAATCGCCGGCGATATTGCTCGGGGTCAAAAGAAGGGCTAGGAAGATGCTGAAGCAAGGAAAACGAAGCAGATTGAAATTGAGAACCGGTACCTGGCGGTGCTCCCAATTCCAGACGGAAACGCGATCGCTGGCATCGGCGGTCACAAGCCATGGATGCGTGGGATGCAATTGGATCTTCAAGATCTTGTCGTGGTTCGGCCGGAATGCTTTGAGCCGCAACATCTTCTTTCTCTTATTCTACTGCTGCTTTCGATCCGGAGGAAAGGGGTTTGTTGAGCTCCGATCTAGGAGAAGAGGGCGTAAAAATGATTCGGTTGTGGGCAGTAGGAAGCAGAGAGTAGGCTTTGGGAAATGGAATACGAGATTAGCGGCAGAGACTAGAGAGGGAGGGAATTCGAACCTCCAAATCCCGAATCTACAAACTTCGTAATCACTGGCCAAGCGTAAAAAAAATTCTCTGTTGGCAATCAGAACTCCGAACTTACGGATTATTACAGGTATTTACATAAAAAAATTATGGATTATTTTACCTTACGCAGGGTTGTTAGACCGGTTTATGCCAGTGTGCTGGTTTAGCAAGTGGAATGGTTCGACCGGTGGTACATATCGGTTTGTACCGGTTCATGCCGGTCAATATTACAAATAAAATTATAAATACTCATATTTAAACATGGCATTTAACGTCAATACTTAGACATTTATACTTGAATCCAACAAATAACATCAATATTTAACTTTTATACTCATAAAATAAATAATAAAATTATTTTTATCAATTAAACTCACTAAAATAAGACCATTTTACTTAGAGATTCGTATATCGATCATGCCGGTCATACCGGTGGTGTCACGCCGATTTTATGACCGGTATCGGTTGAACCAGGTTCAACCGGTGGCACGTCGGCCGGCGTGACAACCCTTTCCTTACGACTTACTTGCCAAAAAGTTGCCCTTTTACTGAATTGCTATTTTTCGCCTTAAAATTTAAATTTTGTCGCCCTAAAATATACTGAATTGACAATGGAGTAGGTAAGGCGTACTCGGAGGCATGTGGATAATCATGAATGCCCACGGAAAGGAGCGCACTCACCACATTCACTTAACCCAGCATGCTTAGACATTTTCATGATAGACCTAGGCTAGGGCGAGGGTTAGTTCCCCGAGGTATATGCTTTTATCCTTGTTTATTCTCTCTACCAGTTATTTCACTTGAATCCTCCAACGCCATTATAGGTTAAACTTGGTCTAGAATGTGTAGTTATTGATACGTGCAAACAACTGACAATGACCTGCACGGAATGAATCGATCAAGGCCCTTTTGTGATAGTTAAGCGGATGTTTTTGGGTTGATGCGGATTGTCAAGCGCTCAGTCAAAACACTTTTTAACTCTTCTATGAAACTTCAATTGGCTATATCTCATTTGTTTTACATATGGTTTTAAAATTTTTGCAAAAGTACAAGATGTTTGGTGCTCTACAAGATGATATCCATTTTGATTTTTTTTAACAAAAAATTTCCACTTCATCTTACAACTGTTATATTATGATATTATCACTATGGTAATATCATGACATAATATATATTGTATGATGGTGTTGCCAGTTTCAGCATAATGATAATATCATGATATGACAATGATGAGAAGATATTATTGAGTTCTGTCATAGTGGTATGATGTTAGTATGATAAGTGATATAACCATTAAAACTACAATGTTTTTTTATGAATGATGATACGAAACTTTTATTGCAAAAATGAATGGAGACTGCCAAAAATTGGCAATGAAACTAACAGACAAAGACAAAGGAAAAAAAAAAGAAGTGGGTCCAACGTGAGAACAATAAAAAGAAATAAAAACAAAACCCAAAATCAAAACCCACAAAACGAGCAAATCCAAACAAGTCTCGAGGGAAAAAAAAACACGAAGAAGCAAAAGAAAAAGAACAAACTGTTAGCCAGCTCCAATCCTTGCCCATTCCTGAAAGAACTCATCTGAGATAAGGTTGAAAGCTCGAAGCCATCTCCCAATCGCATGACGAATCTTGTGGCAAACCTCAACTTGGGATGATTCGGTATTCCTAAAAATTCGGTTGTTTCTCTCTGTCCAAATATACCAAAACACCACATGAGGTAGAACTTTCATACCATCACTAAGCTTTGTGTCATACCCTAATCCTCTCCAAGCTGGAAGAAATGATGGTATCGTTGATGGGAGAGGGCCATGTAGCTGAAGAGATGATGTGAATCTTGCCCAAACGTCTTTTGAAAATGAACATGAGATGACAAATCGTCTCTTCTTGGCACTTGCAATAGGCCATCCAAAGGAAGCAACATATCTTCGAAGGCACATGCGAGATCCAAACAAGCTTGAAGGGGAAGGAAACGTCACCCGCAAAGGTAGTATCGATGAGGTTAGATGTGAAGGAGTGCACAAAGAAAATCGAGGAGGACTCCAAAGGCCAAACAAGATGAGCAGGGCCGATCAAGATCCATTCTTGTGAGAGTGAAGACAACAATTGGCTCAAACGGACATGCTCTGCTGCAGCGCCCCGACGAAGGGAGATCGAAAGGGGTATCTCCAATAAAGACCTGGCATCCAAAGAAATCAAATCAGAAACAAAATCATCCAAGGAATGGGCAGCAGCTGCAACCCTTGGGAACTCTCTCGCAAGGTGTTTCCCCGGGATCCAAACATCGTGCCAAAAAGAAACCCCATCCCCCCCCCCCCCCAGGATCGGCATAGGCCACTTCCCAAAAATATCTTTCATTGACAATCGCCCTCCACAAGGAACATCCATGATTACCCAAATTCCAGTTTGGTTTCCAATCCGACACACCAAGTCCACATTTCACAACCATCAACTTCCTCCACCAAGCATTTCTTTCCACTCCATACCTCTAAGCCCATTTGCCAAGCAAAGCTCAATTCACACTCTTAAGATCCAAGACTCCCAAACCCCCCTTACTCATGGGAGTTTTGACAATTTCCCATCTCACCAAATGAAGACGTTTCACCTCAAAGACTCATGACCATAGAAAGTCATTTTGAATTTTTTCCAACCTAGCAATGACCGAAAGAGGGGCCCTAAAAAGAGACAGGAAGTAGATAGGAAGATTTGCCAAAACACTCTTTAATAACACCAACCTGCCTCCAAAGGACAACATCCTTGCCTTCCAAGTAGCTAGACGCTTCTGCACTTTATCAATAACTGGTTCCCATACTGCCAAGGACGCGGCTTTAGAACCCAGGGGGAGTCCTAGATAAGTAGTCGGGAGAGTTTCCAATTTCAACCAAAAATATTCGCCAAATGCTCTGGATTATCCACCTCCCCCACTACCATCATAGAACTCCTATGCAAATTTACCCGAAGTCCTGAGATGGTTTCAAAGAGTGCCAAAGCCGCAAGGAGTAAACGCACCTGCTCCTCAGATGCATCACAGAAAAGTAAGGTATCACCAGCATAAAAGATGTGAGAGATCGACCTCTCCAATCTTTAATTCCTCATTCATAAAGAAACCCTCAACTAAACCACGAAAACTACAATGTTTGGTCATTGATAAAAAGTTGTCATAATTTGAAAATTTGAAAAATGATTTTGATATCACATCAATATCATATGAGCATTTGAAATAAATCGAAAAGTTTAGTAAAATCCCACATCATACCGAAACCAGGAACCCACAGCCATTATCATACTCCACAACGTGCTCAATCGATAATTAAATTAATTCTCTCCTTGCCAAACTTTTTGGCTACGAATAAAAAATGAGCACTTCTACTATGCTATATAGTATTGGTGCTTTAATGTACAACTTAAAGTTGTACCATAACATTAAATGTATAAGTTTAGGTTGTACCATAAAGCAATTTGTACCATTATATTATGGTACAACTTTACAACTTGAAGTTGTACCATCACATAAAGGTACAAGTTCAAGTTGTACCATAAAAGAATTTGTACAAAAAGTATAGGTACAATATGAAATTGTACCATAACATAAACATACAATTTTAAGTTGTATCATAAAGGCAAAATCCTATAACACCAATACTATATAGCATTGTAAAATTTCTCATAAAAAATGACGTTACACAACGAGGCCGACCGCCATTATCACATACAAACGGCAACACACAACAGACAAATAAAGAGTTGTAAAACTTTCGGAACCCGATCGAGCTGGTGCCATGTCTTTAGTTAATTTGATTCATAGATCCTCCGGCTTATATTGTATATATATACTCCTTATCTACGGTTACGTTGAGACACACACGTACAGCCATGAAGCAGCAGCAGTTGGTCATTATCTACGGTCTCGTCGCCATAGTACTCGTCGCAATAGATGCACGATCCTCAGCTCCCGTCGCTAATAATGCTCGAGAACACCACCAACGCCACAAGCTCCTTCCAGCCGGCAGCACCACCAATTCTACCGACTCCAACGCCGCCGCGGCCACCGTACCATCATCTGGTAGCACCAACAGATCCGTAGGGAAGTACTCTTCCGCCCGCGACGTCGGCCGAAATTCTCCCGCCTTCAGATCATCAGCCCATAAAGAGGAGGAGGAGGAGGCACCAGCGGACGATACTGAACCAACGAATCCCGAACAGCTCAAGTGCGGCTCGTGGGGGAATATTGAAAAATGCGTTTATGCAAGCTTTCCTTGCTGCAGCGAGCAATGGTTCTGTGGATCTGGTGACTACTATTGTGGCTCCAGATATTGTCGACCTTACTACAGCATCTATTGTGATGCCTGACTGACGCTAGCTAGTAATTAGCTCCATAGCGGCGGCGATGGAGGGAAGAGAAGAAAGTGGAAACTTTTATGGACGGGCTTTATATGTCCGTAAGAGCAGATGCTTAGATCGCTATAGAGATATTGTGATCGTAAATGATGTTCTAGCTGCTATAGAAATAACTTCACTTTGGGAATAAATATGAGCAGAAGTATACTTTGAAGCCTTTGTAAGGCTTGGTGGTATCAGAGAGTGAAGAAGCAAAAGAAAGAGTGAGCTTGAGAATGAAGAAGAGCTAAAGCTCTGAGGGTGTTAGTATGCACGGCAATAATTGCCGAGCATGAGGTGTGAATTGTAAAAATATTTTGAGTGAAATAAAATTGAAGTCCTCTGAAATTTCAATCCTAAAATCCACTACATCTCCGCTAGTGTCCAACAAATTTGGTATCAGAGTCGATACAATTTTCCTATCCTCTTAAGCCAGCCCCAATTATTGTCCATAAAAATTCCCAAATATCATGGCATCTCAAGCGCGAGCACAATGCTCGTAAATACTCCCAATCAGATTCCCATCTTCGAGGGTGAATCCTATGAGTTTTGGAGCGAACAAATGGAAACCATCTTCATTGCTTAAGACGTGTGGGATATCATTCAAGAAGGTTATGAGAAAGTTCTGACGGAGGGAGACTCTCACAAAGCTTCGGAATCTAAGTTGAAGCAATACAAGGAGAATGTTCGTAAAAATGCCAACGCCTTGCGGTAATCCAACATGTGATAAGCAAAACTATATATCCTCGAATTTTTGGCATTAAAATGCTAAAATGGCGTGGGAAGTTTTGCGGAATGAATTTCAAGGCAATGAACGCGCAATATCCATCAAACGCCAAAATTTATGGCGTGACTTCTACAATTTGTCGATGAAGGAGGCTGAAAGTATCAAGACTTTCATTCTCGTGCAGCTAAGATAGTTAACCAAATTAAAGCAAATGGTGACACTATCGAGGAAAAGAAAATGTGGAGAGAATTCGCGGCAGTTTGTCTCCAAAATTTGAGCATGTCGTGGCAGTCATTGAAAAGACAAAAGATTTGTCAAAATTACCAATGACTGAGTTGATGGGGTCACTCATTGCTCATGAGTAGAGGATGAGGCGATTTACTTATCAATAACTACAGGAGCAAGTCTTTCAGTCAAAAGTAAACATGTCTGAAAGCAAAATTACAAAGCCGGAGCAGGACCGCAGAGGGGGCAACTTCCAAAGTAGAGGAGGAAAATTAAATTTCAAAGGAAGCAACATGAGAGACCAACAACAAACTACTGATGGCAATAGTAGCACATACTGCATAATCTGCAAGAAGTCGGGACACACGACAAGAGACTGCAAGTTCAAATGCAAGAAGTGCGGAAATCAGAATCACTCCCATATGGATTGTTGGTTCCAAAATAAGAAAGAAGATGTAGAAGCCAGTTTCACTCAAACAGAGGAAATCTCTCAGCTATCACTCTCGTGCCTTAAAGATGATAAAACTTACAAATTCCATGGATGGTAGACAGTGGCTGCAGTAGTCATATGATGGGAGAAAAGAGTCCTTCACTGAGATAGGCGCCAACTACCGCTCTCAAGTAATGCTTGGAGACGGGACTATACTGGAATTCAATGGAATTGGCACAGTGGTCGTAAACTCTGAGTCAGGTAACAATACTCAAATTCAAGAAGTTCTATATGTTCCTGATTTGAAGCAAAATCTCCTCAGTGTTGGCCAACTGATGCTGAAAAAATTCAAGCTATTATTTGATAACGGCGCATGTGAGATCATTAACAAGAACAATGGTCTTACTATCGCCAAAATACCCATGTATTCAAGTAGAATATTACCCCTAGCACTTTCAAGAAGTGCAGGTGTAGCATTGAAAGCCCAAAGGATGGATGATTCCTTCCTCTGACACCTCAAATATGGCCATTTGGACTTCAAAGGCCTAAACCTACTGAAGCAGAAGAGGATGGTAAATGGACTACCCAACATCAACAGAAATATCAAGATATGCGAATGATGTATTTATTGAAAAATGCATAGCTTGTCTTTCCCGAAGACTTCTTGGAGAGCAAAAGCACCGTTGGAGCTAGTTCATGCAGATATTTGCGGACCAACATGAACGCCATCAATAAGCGGTAAAAGATACTTCTTGCTGTTTGTTGATGACTATACAAGGATGATGTGGATATTTTTCCTAGAGCTGAAATCAGAAGCATTCTTCAAGTTCCTTCAGTTCAAAGCAACATCTGAAAAAGAACGCAACCGACCAATCAAGACACTTCGCACAGATCGTGGGAAAGAATTCATCTACAAACCATTCATGGAGTACTGCCACAAAAATGGCATCAAGAGGCGGCTGACAGTTCGATACACACCACAGCAAAATGGTGTGGCAGAGAGGAAGAATCGTACGATCGTGGAGATGGCCAGAAGCATGCTAAAAGGGAAGAAGCTACCCACCAAGTTTTGGGCGGAAGCTGCCAACACAACTATCTATATCATCAAAAGATCGCCAACTAAAGCAGTACGTAACAAGACACCATATGAGGCACGACATCACCAAAAGTCGTAAGTGAATCAACTAAAAAAATTTCGGATGCATAGCCTATGCTCGTACCTTTACCCCTAATCGAGACAAATTCGATCAAAAGGGAGAGAAGCTATATTCACCGGATGATCCGTGGGATATCGACTCTATAATCTTGTGAAAAATAAAACGGTGATCTCGAGATATGTTATCTTCGACGAAATGTCAGAATGGAGCTGGGAGCAAGAAACATCACAATATCCACTAACATATGAAATTTTGGAGGAAACATCAACTTCAGAAGAAGCCGATAACAACCAAGGAGATCCACCCTCAAAGTCCAAGTGTAGTGCACACGAAGATTTAATGATTTTTTTTTCTTAGTTTTCTTAATCGGTTCTTATCTTATTTGGTCTAACTCGAATTATTCTTCGTTGTAATTTGAATTTCAAAATTTTTTGTATAGATGGAACGAGTATGTTGTGATCTAAAAAATGAGATTCATCAATATATTTCAACAAATTTTTTTCATACCACTCATTACCAGTTTGGTACCACCCGCTACCATCTTTGTTTTTTACTCGAATTTTGAAATTTTGAAATAACGACTTAAAATGAAAGAGATAGTCCATTTAAATTTATAGGGGAAATGGTTTGGAGCCTTCTATGTATGGTGATGTGGCGCTGATGTGACAGGTTATTAATGGTTATTGCATGACTACAAGGTGAAACACTGGATCTGTTAGTTCCTCTTAAAATGATATAATAAATTAATAATAGTGGTGTGATTTTCTTTTTCTTTTTTTGGTATACACATATAGCTAGGTGTTGTATGTCGAAACTAGCATGTCGTGTATGTTATTATTAGGAGGATTCAAGGATTTTAATAAGGAGTATTATCAAGACACTTATAGAAATTAGAAAAATTATCAATTCCTTATTTTTCAATCGAATAGACAAATTGATAAAACACCAGGGGGGTGCTTTGTTTGATCAGAATACGCAGCTCAAAACTCTTCAACGAAAGATAAAAACGAATAGGTAGAATTTCGCCACAATCAAGGTGATTACTTGATTGATAAGAAACTTGTAAAACGAATCTGGAATCCTCACTGAAAAGCCTCACAAGGGTTCTCAAATTAGCAATGGAATTCCTCACACGACTAACTCAAGGGTTTGATTCTTGAGAACTCTCAAAGAACACAATTCTCACAAAGGAGCAATTTTCATTCAACTAAAACTTGGATGATTTACAACGTGAAATTGAAAGCTATTTAAAGACAATAAAAACCTAATACAAACCTAATAGAACTAGGAAACTAATTAGAACAGAAAAAGGTTAAAGAATTCGTGTAAAACAAGATAACTTGATGGCCAAGAGACTGACTTAAAACGCAAGCCTGTCTAGGAAAACAGGCTTCATAGCATCTTTGACCCCTTCGAAAATGGTCTTCTAGGTTGATTCGAATTCAACCAATTCCTTGCCTTTGTAGAATAAAACTTCCTGTTTCACCTCCAGCTTGAATCAGCCTGAGATCATGCTCCAAACTCCCGATATAGGCTTTCAAAGTTGGTATCTCAAAACAGTTTTCTGCCTTAGCCAAATTTAGACAGTTTTCCTGTTTTGAGGTAGCCTTTTGATGGGCTTTGGAAGTGACCTTCCAGACATCTCCTTGAGCTCCAAAACATACCAATGTAAACATAATAACATTATCTTCAAAACAAGCTCTTGATCTTCCATTTTGATTGAGACATGTGTAAGATACAAGCTTCCAAAGTAGGCTACCTGAAACTGTTTCAACACTTAGCCAAAAATCAGAATTCTTCTTGTAAGGTGAGATGGCTTCTTTGACAAGTAATTGTGAATTGTGGATTGATCCAATTGGGATCACATCAAAAATATATATAGAGGTAACAGCAATTATATCAGCATGTATATGTCTGAAAGTTAGTGTTTTTGGTTTAATGGAAAGAGATGCCGATTAAATAATATGTAATTTGATAAGTAGTTTGGATAAGTTATTGTTGTGAGTTATTTTGACAACCAAGTTCATTAAAATGACAAGAGCGGCAATTCGATAACGGCGAATGATGACCAAGTCGAAGGTTTGTCTAGGACGAGCAATGAGAAGAAGGTTGAAATGGCAGTGCAGATGGAGGCGAAAAGGTCGAAATTAAGTGTCATTTCGTATTATTTAAGTAATGACATGTCTACTAGTTATCACTATTTTGGTAATCACCGGCCTAAATTGATTACAAAAAATTTTGTAAATTATCTACAAGTACTTCCTCCCAACCCAGAGCAACAGCACCAATTTTACCGACTCCGCCGCCGCGGCCACCGTGTCATCATCGGCTAGCGCCAACAGATCCGTAGGGAAGTACTCCTTCGGCCGCGACGGCGGCCGAAACAATTCTTCTGCCTTCAGGTCAGCGCGCCGCACAAGGAGGAGGAGGCACGGCCGGCTGACGATACCGAACCAATCTATGCCGAACAACTCGAATGCGGCCCGTGGGGGATTAATGCGAATTGCGTTTATGACCGCTTTCCTTGCTGCAGCAATATAGGGTTCTGTGGATATGATCGTTCCTATTGTAGCTTCAGATCTTGTCAACCTTACTACAGCATATCTTGTGATGCCACGGACCCTAGCTAGCTTCACTGCGGCGAGGGAGGAAAGTCGAGACTTGTGTAACGGGCTTTTCATATCGGGAAAATTAAGCAGATAGATAACTATAGATATATATTGTGGTCACAAAATAATGTTCGACTATAGAAATAACTAGGGGTGGCAGTTCGGTTATCGGTTACCGGTTAACCGACTGGTTAAACCGATAACTGGCTAGTTATCGACTAACCGGTAATCGAAGTAACCGAATTTCGGTCGGTTATCGGAGGATGGAGGAAATGTATTTTGGTCTTAAAAGTGGTTCGGTTAACCGGTAACCGAGATAACTGATAAACCGAAGCCTATTTTGGGCGGTTTTCGGTAAGTGGAGTGATTCTTTCGATTAATCGATAACCAGCCGATCGGTTACCGGTTATAACCGAAATAACCGAACTGTCACCCCTAAAAATAACTGCTTTTTGGGAATATATATGAGCATAACTTTAATATACATGTTCCTCTTACAAGGTTAAAAGATGCTAAAGAAATTTTGTAAGGAGTGTAATTTTCTTTGGTGTTGTAAGTCGAACCTAGGTAGCATGTTTTTGGATGTTATTTCATTTATCTCTTTAGCCACCCAAAACTATTTTTACTTCATGGATTTTCCTAGTAGAGAAGCTGATTAGGGACAAAGGGAAGCTCATGAGAGGAAAAAGGGATTTTGCTAGATTAATGAATCAAGTATCGAACAAACTTTTCTCAATTCAAATGTCGAGCTCGATTCATTTGTAGTCATAAGGAGAATGTCCTTCTTTATGTAACTAGAGCTATACTCTTGTCTTTTGGATTTTTGGTCATGTTTTGAGCTATAGTTGAGTTTTTATTTTTTAATATTAACAATTATCTGCATGGGCCATAACAATAGTATCCCTAGTGCAATTAATTATGTCCATTGCTAGATTAAGAGGAGGAATGAAGAGAGAGCTCCCTGGCCAAATATAGGGATGGCAAAAATAACCATATTCGCGGATACCTGGTCGAATTGAATTCGATTTAATTGAGTGGATAAAACATGAATTCGAAAGATTTTGTATTGGTATTGCGCTAAACTCGAACTCGAATATTGTGAGTGATGAGTGGGCATGGTTTTCTCACCATCCAACCCGAACTCTCCCGAATATACACATGCATATGTATTTTGTTTAAAAATATCATTATTTTTCTCAACATATTTTATACTTATCATCCATATATAATATTTTTATAATTTGTAATGTTTTTAACTAATTTTCTACATTTTTATTAATTTAGTGTTGTAATTTGTCACTTATGTAACGTCAGTATATGTGTAATCATTAACATATTGGTTGAAATTATAAAAAAAAACTATTATCCATGATTATCCATAGATATTCGAAACTCGATCAGATATGGATATGATTTTGATATTCTACTCAGATTCTTATATGACTATGGATATAGCTAAAACTCAAACTATTTCGATTAGGATAATGGACATGCACTGTCCAACCCCATCCGTTGCCATCCTACTCAAATCTTACCATTTTTTTCTTCTTACTGCGAATTGACCTAATTTGTTTGCGTGAAAATCTTGCCCTTTTTTAGTTCCAACAGAATTATAAAAAATTAGTATTTTATTTTTTCTGGAAAATTGAATTTTTGAGTTATGAGAGCAGTGGGATTGTATTTTTGTTTTAGAGGAAGAGTTTAAATAAGAAACAAATAAACGAAGCTATTAATTAATGAACATCCCTCCAGATGGTTTTTATCCTCTCTTTATTATAATTATAATAATTATTGTAATATATTAATCGTATTTTGGTTTATTTGACTTGGTAAACAAACCAACTCCACTAATCGCCACCCCATTCGTGATGAGTTCCGCACCAAACAAATACACACCTATATATAATTAGAAGGTGGATCAGTTCTAAACACTTCTACTAATCCTAATCCAACCACATCTTAATTGTTATTATTATCCACTTAACTGAAATCCCAAGAAAGGGCAGATCCAAGCGGAAGAAGAAGGAGATCAGTAACCAATCCCACTGCTACAACAATGGCAATGATCGTCGCATTCGGCGAGATGCTAATCGATTTCGTCCCTGACGTCGCCGGCGTCTCCCTCGCCGAATCTAAGGGCTTCATCAAAGCTCCCGGCGGCGCCCCCGCCAATGTCGCCTGCGCCATCACCAAGCTCGGCGGCAAATCCGCCTTCGTCGGCAAGGTCAGTCTTCCGATCTGATCTCTTTTTTCTTTCCTCCACTCCAGATCTCGATCCGGTTATGGTGCTGCGGTGCTCACAAAGCGGTGTTCACATGATGTCTATGAGAACGTACTCACAAAACGTCGAATTTTAGCGTTTATCCGTTCCACCACTCCAGATCCTATCAAGTTATGTTAACACATGTGAGAATTTAAGATATGTTCAAACGGTAATTGTGAGAACTCACATACAAAATTCCTCGTTGTCGAATCACGCATTAGGCACTTGCTCGTCGTTAGATGAACACTATGACATTTTATTACAAAACTGTCACGCTTTCCATCTAACGACTCGAAAGCGTCCAATGTGTGCGACTCAGTAAGCATGTTCTCATCGATCTGGCCATGAACACAATTGCAAAAACACCCTCCAAACAATAAGATGTCTGTTAAACTCAGAATTCGAGATCGGTCACAGTAATTTTACAATCTTGCAATTCCGATCCCCGTACTTTTAGTTGCAAGTCAATTTGGTCCCTTCCCCTGCCTCCTGCCCCTGCTAAAACTCACTTCTGATCAATTCAATGCAGTTCGGGGACGACGAGTTCGGGCACATGCTGGTGAACATCCTGAAGCAGAACAGCGTCAACACCGACGGCGTCTGCTTCGACAAGGAAGCGAGGACCGCGCTGGCGTTCGTGACCCTGAAGCAGAACGGGGAGAGGGAGTTCATGTTCTACCGCAACCCGAGCGCCGACATGCTACTCAAGGAGTCGGAGCTCAACCTCAACTTAATCAAGCAGGCCAAGATCTTCCACTACGGCTCCATCAGCTTGATCTCCGAGCCCTGCCGCTCCGCCCACATGGCCGCCATGAAGGCCGCCAAGTCCGCCGGCGTCCTGCTCTCCTACGACCCCAACGTCAGGCTGCCGCTCTGGCCCTCGGCCGACGCCGCCAGGGAAGGCATCAAGAGCATCTGGAAGGAGGCCGATTTCATCAAGGTCACGCGTATTAATGTCGGAAAAAAATTATGTTGTGAAAAAATGAAATTAGGATCATAAGATCGAATTGTGAAATTGTAGGATGGTTGTTTGTTGCAGGTGAGTGATGAGGAGGTGGAGTTCTTGACGAAAGGAAATGCGGAGAAGGAAGAGACTGTGCTGTCTCTGTGGCATGATAAGCTGAAGCTACTTCTTGTCACCGATGGGCCTAAAGGCTGCAGATACTATACTAAGGTACAGCCGGAGCGAGCTGCTCTAATAACTCGAGTTGTTGGAAGATGTTCAATTACGGATTATATACCATTTCCTGACGCGCGACGAAATTGTGTGTATGTATGAGTGACAGAGTTTCAAGGGGAAGGTTGCGGGTTACTCGGTGAAGACGGTGGACACGACTGGAGCAGGGGATGCTTTCGTGGGTTCGTTCCTGACGTCGGTGGCAAAGGACCCTTCCATTTTCGAGGTAACTACTATCAGCGGCGGATATAGGCTGGGCCACGGCCCAGCCCTTCTCGATCCAGAGCTAGTATAGCACTCGTAAATTTTCGATATTCGGTGTTCGTTTCAGTGTTCGTCGTGTTACGGCCCAGCCCTATTCACTTTTTTTCTAATGTGGTTCAGTGTTCTACTCGATCCTGGATCCGCCGCTGACTACTATGGAGTTTTTTTAATTGGGTTCGACGAATTGATGGTGGTGGGTAAGTAGAGAACTAAGATGGTTGGGATTTTTGCAGAACGAAGGGAAGCTGAAGGAGGCACTGGCGTTTTCGAATGCCTGTGGAGCGATTTGCACGACCCAGAAAGGAGCCATCCCTGCACTTCCCACAACGAACGACGCCCAAGCACTTCTCAAGTCCAAGTAGAAGACGAACAATTGCAGCAAAGAGACCTCAAAATAATGGGGGATCTTCTGAATTTTGATCAACCTGTTCATGGCATGAGTTCTTTTTTTCCTTTTGTTTTGATTTGTGGAGGGTACAACCAGGCCGGATTCATTGATTTTTGTGATTCTTTGTTTGATGATGGTTGGGTTTCGATACATCATCAAGATTCAAATCAATTTTGGGTTTGATTCTTGTTATGTGTTTGTTCAGAATGCAAATAATATGATATATTGAATCTGATACGACTTATGGTAAGAGAGCAGCTCAAATTTTAGATCTGGGAAGGAAACTCCACGCAGAGAAGAGACCTTCCATCCTAATAGCTTCTAGTTTATCCTTTTGATGAAATTTGGCTTTGGCAATCTTTCCATGCAAGACATGAACACCAAGGTAGCGCCCAAAAACGATAACAATCCGGATTTTGTGCTTACAACACCATTTGTACCTACATGATTACAATGTCGTACATCCAATAACCACGGAGCGCTCAACGCCCGATTGAATGACCAACGATGTTATAAGCATGTCAATACGAATGGTGTTGTAAGCACCGTAACCAAATTCGATGGATAGTTGTAACTCTAAGATCCTCTTTTGAGATTTAGAAAATAGATAAAAGATAATACTATTGTCTTTAATGTGATGCTTTAAAAAAGGTGAATTCGCGTTGATTATTTGCACCAATTATTGGATAATAAAAATTAGATGAGCAATTAGTCTCAATTGTCTAAATTACCTAGTTTGGCAGGGGATGCAACAACTGAACAGAGGCAATTTGAATTGTTGCGTTTAACATCAATTTGAATATGCAGGAGACAAGTATTTCAAAGTGTAAGATAGGGTAATTTCAAAGTCTGAGATGGGGTAATTTCGAGACAATTGGATTAAATAGCCTCACTTCTATAATCCAAGCCAAGATCGCATATATGTCCCTTGAACCTATTTCCCAAGCTGTAAAACTCAGTATCAAAAAATTGTGCTGCAAAAATCTTCATTCAGGAAATGCAACTTGTAAGTAGTGTAAGTGTTTATGGTACAACAAAAAAAGGTGGATCTTATTGTGTCAACTACCCTGCTCCTAAAATCTTTATCCCACACTGTCCAAACCAGCCTTGCTGCCTCTTTTCATTCCCTCAAAGAGCTTCCAATCACCTTCAGAAAGCTACTCTATGCTATGCTGTTAGGTTTACAAGTTAGGGATAGTAATTACAATCTCAATTGTGAACTGCAATTTCTTCTGCTTTTTTTCTTCTTTTTTTTTACAAATAAACCACCCACCTCATTTTACAAATAATAAGCTGGTGCTGAATAAATACATGCCTGCCTGCCGAGTCTGTAGGGTTG